TTCTGTCAGCAGGGTGGCATCACTATGTCAAAGGTTCTGTCAGCACGGTGGCATCACTATGTCAAAGTTTCTGTCAGCACGGTGGCATCACTATGTCAAAGATTTTGGGTTTGACCTATATTTCATGGTCAGTTGGCTTTGCTGACGTTGAGTTTTTGCATTTAGCTCCAACATTTAGTTACATTATGGTGGAAATTATTGATAAATCGGGATTTAAAAAAATCAATTAACTCAGGCCGTTATATTTACGTCCATAAAACATGCACATAGCCATAGGTTGATTATTAAATAAAAAGAAAGCGGTAAACTTGTGTTTGTTGAACTAAATCTGATTTAAAAAGGGCAATTCTCAAAAACATATCATACTTTTTACAGAGGACGATATCTTAGAGGCAGCGTCTATAGCAAGTACTAATTACACATACCAGTCTGACGAGCGACCTGACCTTGACCTACTTATCCGAGCTACACCTGAGTATGGTATTCCAAGACATAACCCACTCACTGGTGAAGAACTCTTCCTGGAAGACGAAATTGAAAATGACGACAGCGACGACGAGAGTTTTACCTCCATGGATATTCTGTCGGTTGATCCAGCATGCATGGTGGTTCCGACATCCGCGAAGGCATCCTCCGGGGTAGCTAAGCATAAAGACTTTATCCGGGGTCTGCCTGTCCATATTGCTAAATATGTGCTGGGATTTTTGGACATTGCTTCGTTACACAATGCACTGTGTGTAAGTAGCATTTGGTGCTCTCTAGTGGAGGAGGTTCATAAGGAGTTCCGAATCAACCAGGATCTATCCGAAGAAGTCATGCTCATGCAGGTTGGTGGAAAAACTTACTTACAAGCCTGTCACCTCATAAAGTGTCTAAAACAATTCTTTGTCACCCTAAAGAAATATATATTTCAATTTAAGTTATAATTTACTGCAGAAAGAAATTAGAAAAAACTTAATCTCAAGTTTGAAATGTTACTTAGAACAAAAGCAACAAAAAGACAAACTTGGATAACAATGGAACAAGCATATACAGGATTTGTTTCTATTTAAATATGTTTAAATGTGTATTAATTGTTTCCAACCTCCCATTTTCAGTAAGATTTATTTTATTATAAGAAGACTTACTGTACCCATGGCTTTGGTCATTAGACAAACAGTACTGTACTTATAATTACCATATAGTGGTGTTACCACATACATATAACCCACTTTTGTTTTATCAATCCGAAAATTACAACCAAATTTCAAGACTCGTAATTTTGTTTGTCAACAGTGAAAACGTATAGACCATCTGGGAATCAAGTGAAGTGTGTATGGTATCAAATTTAAAATACAAAGCTGCAGGAGTTGAATGTAGAGGTAAAATAATCGTAATTTGTTTGTTGTCGTAGGGTGCTGCAGCACAAGGTGCCAACCCAGTGTACGCCAAAGATGTAGACGTGATCGTGCCAAACCTTCACCCGGGGACACGGGAGATGATTACCACTCAAGATCAAGTCGTCAAAGCCAAGTACAAGAATGAGGTCAACTTTGAAACGGCTTTGACAGGAATATCATGTCGTAAGGTTATCATGGAGGAACGCAACGTCTATTGTGGGTCATATAACGTCATGGTGCTCAAAGATGTGTAAGTTTCTACGGTTTAATTTCTACGACCTTGCGTAAATCAAATCTATCTAATAACTGTTCAAACTAATATTATGTGCAATTAAAAATATAATAGAACTTTTTTATTAAGAATATTTTGTATGATTTGTATATATTTGTTTTTATATATCTACAGAGAGGACTCGCATCGTGTTGTACACACCTGTGGGGGCAAACTGATTGCCATCGGGTCAAAGGACCGCAAGGTGCGGTTTATAGAGCGTGAGTCGGGGAAGGACCAGGGACCAGTCATTACTGGACACGCTGGTAGTGTCCGCTGTGTTTATCTGTGTGAGGAGGATGGCTATGTCCTCAGTGGGAGTTACGACACTAGTATCAGGTAAGTCATAGCTATGTCCTTGTTGTTATGGGATGTAACGAGGAATTTCATTGATTCATTGAAAAAAAATTGCAGGCATTTAACACTTCGGAACATACCAGATGGTATGAGGTCACAATATGGGATAGTAAAAATCTGTTACCAGTGCATGTGTCTTTGAAAAATTAAATAAAATTACAACTTGATGCTGTTGATAGATGCATTAGATGATTTACAATCGATCATTTTTTCTTTGCGATACAGAATGTGGAACATGGAGACTGGGAAGTGTATGCGAATATTCCGAGGCCATCGTGACACGATTCTTACGATCCTGGTGTACCGCGATTACCTGGTCTCTGGGGCCAAAGACAACTGTTGTAAAGGTAAATATCTCGTCTTTGTTATAAGTAAGTTAACTGACGGTGAAGAGCAAAACTTTTCTTCAGTACAATCCAGCCTTCAATAGTCTAGAAAAGTAGCTTTTCAGGGCCTAATATTGACTTTTTAAATTATCCTGAACCCATGCAGTTTTGGGAAATAGGCATCATGCTGTATCCACTGCATGTGAGTAATGTGGGACCTCCTGCAGAGTTGGGGGTTTTCTACAGACTATTTCCTGTTTCAATATTAATAAAAGTTTAATAAAATTTTAATAATTCCATTAGATTCAAATTAAAGATTTCACTTCATTCCTAGACTATAACATAATATGGTGTTGGGTCTGATAACAATGCATCAGGCGTCATATGTTCAAATGACCTTTTCTTCAATATACCCAGATGTTTATATGTTTGTACTCACTTTCCAATAAACAGAATTATGAGGGCACCATACTGATTGGCAGTGGAGTAGCAAACTGACCACTGATAAGGTTGTGTCAGACCATACACTGTATGGTGTATTATACCTATAGAGTTAACAGGGTAAAGGTTTGGGTTTGAAGTAGTTTACTTTATTCTTGACCATTGTAAATGTTTCACAGGTTTTCTATGAATTATACCAAGTCAATTATTGTACATTTAATTGTGTATTGTGATAGTGGAAATGCTTGCATTTTTTCACATCGAGCAATAAAGCGCGGAAATATCCACATGCAAATACAAATGTATTTATTTACACATTATATAGTTTATAGATGATAGAATGTATAGATTTCAAAATTATTGCCCAGTTGTAAATCTCCACTCCGCCCTCTGAGTTTAAAAACTTCGGCTTTTACAATATTACACATGTACATGAGTTCAGGATCTGGTGACAAATTAAATATTTACATTATCAAAATAGTTCTCTTATCAGGAGATCATATCTCAACTACATCATAATTTTGGTAAACTATTGTAAGGTTGTAGATGTGTCATGTCAAGTGGTGTAGATAAATAGCACTAGATGTAAGATGACTTAAAGTCGAGGTCATTGACCTG